TTTACTTCTTGATTTTCACAGCATTTTACATCTGACCTCACCCTTTTTTGTGTGTTTTAGGTGGACAAGGACTTCATTCCCGGTCTGATGTATATTAGAGATAATGAGGCGTCTGCAGAGGAGTTTGAGGCTATGCCTCTGCCCTTCACTGTGCCCAGCGCTTGTGGACAGGAAGTCCAGCTCAGCTCCAAACATTCCCACATCAGCCTAGAGAACCGCAGCGAATATGTGCGGCTAGCAGTAAACTACAGGTGTGAACAATTTGCTGAAAAAAAGTGTTACAAACCAATTCTGTGGGAAAAATGTTCATGAATAAAATGAATATTTACTGGTATGTTGTTTTGTTCTTCCAGGCTGCATGAGTTCGATGAGCAGGTGTCTGCAGTAAGGGAAGGTATGGCACGTGTCGTACCGGTGCCTCTGCTCTCTCTCTTTACTGGCTATGAGCTGGAGACCATGGTGAGTGTGTCTTCAGTATTAATGCAGACTGAGCAAATATGTCATCATGAATTCTTATTAGACTCCACGTCACTTGTTTGTGGTGTTTAGGTGTGTGGCAGTCCGGACATCCCCCTGCACCTGCTCAAATCAGTGGCCACATATAAGGGGGTGGAACCCACTGCTCCTCTCATCCAGTGGTTCTGGGAGGTGATGGAGTCTTTCTCCAACACGGAGCGCTCGCTCTTCCTCAGGTTCGTCTGGGGTCGCACGCGCCTCCCCAGGACCATCGCAGACTTCCGTGGACGAGACTTTGTGGTGCAGGTAACTTGTGGCTCTGAAAAGTGTCACTTCAGTGTCACATGATCCTTCAGAAATTATTCTAATATGCTGATTTGTAGATCAAGAAACATTGCATATTATCAGTAATGAAATAATATTTTTTTTGTGGAAACTTTAAAACGTTATTCGAATAAAAATGTTAAAAGAACAGCGTTTATTTTAAATTTTATTATAAAGTTTTACAAAAGTTTATTATTATTTTATTTCTTTAAGTTGCATAATTATGCTTTTATTGGGCAGTTCTGCATTTCTATCATAATAGAAATGACTTTTTTCTTGAGAATAATGAGAAAAAAGTCAGAATTGAACAATATAACTCAGAACTGCAAGAAATACACTCGAGAAATAAGGTCAGAATTGTGAGATGTCACTATTACCTTTTTTATTTTTTCTTCAGTGGCGGAAATAAAAACAAAAATAAAAACAGAATTGCAAGATGTAAACTCAGAGGGGAAAATGTCAAAATTATGAGATGAAAACTAAACAAAATGAAAATGATGAAAACAAAATTCTAAGAAAAAAGTCAAAAGTTTTTCTCATTCTTTTTTTTAAATTTATTTATTTTTTTTCTCAGATTTGTGAGTTTATATTTTGCAATTTTGTGTTTATATCTTACAATTATGAGAAACAGTCCGATTTTTGAGACAAGTCACAATTATTATTTTTTTATTCCATTTTTTTTTTTTTTTTTCCAATAGGGGTATTGAAATCTCTTTTTTTTTTTTTTCTTCAATATGTTTATTGTCCTTTTTCTTATTTTATAAACACACATCAGCTATACATATAGTAACAAAATAGCCTATGTAACACCAGAACAAGTACACAAGCATACACCCCTTCACTTACACGTTCAATTAACACTTTTTTTTTTTCTTTAAAAAAATGCATAAATAATAATAATAATAAAATAAATTAAGTAAATATTTCTAAAAGTAAAAAAAATAAAAAATAAAAAAATAAATACATTTGTTACAGAGAATGTTTTACAATGTCTTTTTCAGTAAGGTCTACATTTCCATTTTACATGATATTTATGTATGGCTCCCATAGCTGATCAAAGTCTTTCCGTCTACCCTTAGCAATGTAAGTTAGCCTTTCCAGTCCGATACAGTTCGATAACTCCTTTATCCACATTTTCATAGATGGAGCATCCATACTCTTCCAGCCTGATGCAATAACTCTTCTGGCTTGAAGGAGACCAAAGTCTACAAGTTTAATCTGTCTTGATGTTTGTATAACGTCCATTGGATATATTCCAAGAATACAAAGTTTTACATTCAAAGGAATTGCAATATTAAACATGTCTGACAAACATTTTATAACTTCCTTCCAAAAGTTTTGTATCTTTGGACATTCCTAGAGGCAATGATATAGTGTACCTTTATCATCCAAGCATTTAGAACATATATCTGGAATATTAGCAGACATTTGATGAAGTTTGACAGGTGTTATATCGGTTCTCATTAACTACTTATATTGAAACATGTCTGACAAACATTTTATAACCTCCTTCCAAAAGTTTTGTATCTTTGGACATTCCCAGAGGCAATGATATAGTGTACCTTTATCGTCCAAGCATTTAGAACATATATCTGGAATATTAGCAGACATTTGATGAAGTTTGACAGGTGTTATATAGGTTCTCATTAACCATTTATATTGAAGTAATTTAAACCTTGTATTTATTGTCTGCGTTTGTGCTTTAAGACAAGCATAGTTCCAGTCTTCTTCGTCTATATCTTCCTGTATATCCACTTTCCAAGCATTTAATTTGTCCAATGTTGATTCAGTACTGTGTTTCACCATTAAATTATAGTACACAGATATGTGACCCTTACCTTCTAAATTTCCGTGAGTTATTTCCTCTAATTTTGATAAAGATGGTATACAGATGATCTGTTCTTCTTTTGATGACATGTAACTTTTCAACTGTAGATACTTAAAAAAATGCTTTTTGGGAATTACATATCTCTGGCATAGCTGATCAAAAGAAAGTAGAACTCCATCTTCATATAAATCCATAATTTTCTGAATGCCTCTAATATTCCATATCTTAAATCCTCCATCTTTATTACCAGGTGTAAATTGTTCATTACCCCAAATAGGAGTAAATTGGGATAATCTCGGCATATCACCTATATGCTTATGTGCAGCATGCCAGACTGAAACAGTATTTTTAAGGAAAGGGTTTTTTGTGTTCTTCTTCAATGACTTAGTATCTGAAGAGTATAGGTAAATTTTTAATGGTGTATCTGGGATGGAGTTTTGTTCAATGTCTACCCAAGCAGATGTTGTTGTATGGAAGTAATTTAGTGCTGAAGTAAGTTGGGCAGCCATATAGTACCATCTAAAATTGGGAAGTTGAAGCCCTCCCCTTTCATAGGGCAGATGTAATAGCTTAAGGCGAAGTCTAGCTTTTCAATCATTCCAAATAATTTGAGCAATTAGTTTGTTAATTTTATCATAAAAGATGTTTGGTAATGGAAATGGGAGTGTTTGAAAAAAGTATAAGAATTTGGGTTGAATAGACATTTTAATTATATTAATTCGTCCGATCATGGATATTGGTTATATATATATATATATATATATATATATTATATATAAATAAATATTAGTGCTCAATTTTTAGTTTTTGTCCTTTTTGACCAGGTGCTGGATAAATACAACCCACCTGACCACTTCCTCCCAGAGTCCTACACCTGCTTCTTCCTGCTCAAGTATGATCCTTGTCCCCAATTGTAATGCCTGATATTCCTTTATGTACTGTCACTGCCATAGCTAGGGGTTAGACTGCCAACACGAACAACAGTGGGGACAGAGGGCACCCTTCCATTTTTATTTTCTATTCCATTCCAGAAACAAGTTTCCGTGTGTATACAGTGGGTACGGGAAGTATTCAGACCCCCTTCAATTTTTCACTCTTTGTTATATTGCAGCCATTTGCTAAAATCATTTAAGTTAATTTTTTTTCCTCATTAATGTACACACAGCACCCCACATTGACAGAAAAACACAGAATCGTTGACATTTACACACACACACACACACACAGAGAGAGAGACAGATAGTGTGGTAAGTTGTAGGAAGTCTTGAAAATAAGCTGACAAAAGAAGTTTAAATGAAAACTGAACCGAAGTTGTCTGTTTTAATCTCACTTATTAATATGTGCATAGACACAAATACAACTAAAAGAAGAGTAATAAGTGTATATCATTATGTGCAATTAACTTTAAAGCACTATTAAGCTGGTGAAAAGCAAGATAGATTTGTTTTTTATCTTTGTTGTGAAGAGAACCAGGAAGACAGGAGAAACTACACATCTCTTTGTTAAACATTGTGTTCATGTTTTATTACAGAGGACAGACCGCTTAGCCTAGCACTGTGGTAGACGACTCCTGACAGACTCCTGATTGAATTTGTGTTAAATAGGTAGTATTATGAACTTCGCCTCTTTATTTGAAAACAGCAGTGTTTCTTTAAAAACCTTTTTAACTGAGCAGGATATTTTGTTTTCTCATTTGATCAGTGGAAGTCGGATCAGGGGTTGTTTTTAGGTTGTCGGTCACTGTATTCTCTCCTCCTCCTATATGTGTCTGCACTGTTCTCCTAATGGAATGTATATAATTTGATTGTGCCATGTGTTAATGAGAGGTCTCATTTCCATGTTATAAATAAATGTTAATTTCTGTTAATAAATTTAAACCAAATTTCTCTTGTAAGTTTTATTTTCTCGTTTTGAATTTTTTTCCTGAATTTTTGGATGATTTAATTATATATTTTTGTGTGTTCATAGTATAAATTGCTTGTTTGAATTGGGAAAAATTCAATGCAGAATTATAAAAAGAAAAAAATACTAGCCGATAGCAGTATAGTCGCCATTATATCGTTCAAAATATTGGTCGATATATCTGAAATGCATTGTTTTTTTTTTTTTTTCTTTTTCTAAATGATATAATTTTACATTTTCTGTTTTTGCAGACTGTATGTTAGCTTTTGGTGTTTTTATTCCTAAAGACAAACTGTACAGTAAATATCACATTTTAAGCAGTAACAAGTAACAACATATATTATGTAGTTTTAATTATGCTCGATATGTAATGTGATAACCCGTATTTAAAAAAAAAAAAATCCATATTCACTATCACTGAAAACACTGGTAACAGTTTATTCTAAAATTCCAATTTGTCGTTTGAGTTTGAAAATGTAAGCCTTGACATGACTTTCTTCTGGCATCAGTACTAGAAATAATGATTCTACTAATTATAATGAAATCAAATGCATTCAAAAAGTACAATTTTATATACAATATTTGAAATCCCCAAATATGTAGTCAGTTTGCCATTGTTTCAGGTTAACATGGTTTAGGTTCAGTCTACTTTGGCTTTAGTCTCGTATGGGATTTCCAGACCAGTTAAAACACATTCCTATCAAACACTAACGTAAACGGTTTAATAAAATCCTCATAATGACCTGCACGACTCGTACTGGCTTATGTGGAAAAGAGTGAGCACTTCCACCCCCTTACAGCTCTCACGTGCACTCAGAGGATAGTCAAGTGATGTTTATCTGTGAACCGGCTGAGCCATCTAGCTCTGCATATATTGCTCTTGGTTCACAGGCTTTGTTGTTAATGGGCCACAGTATTAAGCTCAGAGGTCAAAGGTCACATCGTAACCTGCCTTCTCTGTTGTGGAGATAAAAGGGTATTAGGGGTGCATGACCGAGAGGAAAGTGTTTTATGATGGCTTAGTTTGGCTTAGAAATCCGGAGCATTCTTCACCATCTTAATGCTTTTTTCTTTCTTTCATAAGCAGAAATCACAGAGCGCATTATGCTGGAATGAGTCAGGTGCTCTACTCATGTCGGGTTGGCTCCAGGCAGGCAGAAGAAAAGAACCAGAGCTGTAAAACTGTACTTGAATGCAGCAGGAAGGTCTGACTTTACTGTGCATTCATAAATTGTTCAAACAGCCTGAGAAAACCAAAACACTTGTTTTAAGCTAATCGGGCTGTGTATCTGAGTTTTGGTTTGTGAAAACCTTTTTTGATAGAATTTGCTTTGCGTATCAAGGTCACTGAAGTGTAGCATGCCAAAGTGCATTAGCAGGGACCATCATATTCAAAATATTTATGGAACTCATACTGCACATGCACTAACACAGCGCTGTAACTGTAAGCACCTTGAGTTTTTCTTAAAGTAATGTTAAAAATGTACAAACGCCTATCTATCTATCTATCTACCTATCTACCTACCTACCTATAAATGCTGATACAATATTTTTCACTAGTGGACCCCACTGTTTATTTCATTTAATTAAATCTTTCTTTAAATTAAATGATTTAATTAATCTTAAAATTGAGACGTTCCTGTACCTTTCTTCCTCTTGCTGTCGATTCAGTAAATGAAATGTTATGCAAGAAGACTTGAATTCAATCGGTTGGGTTACATAAGCAGAGGAGGACATGTGTGTGGTCAGTTTTTTTCCTAACTGACTTTTTTTGCGATTAGGAGAGCTCAGACAGCCGGGATCCTTTGGCTAGATCCGTTGGACGTTTTATGGGATCTCAATAGCCACATACTGGCACATACCACTAAAGCATACTTATTTTTACCTCTTTGTGTCTCCTTTCCTCGTTGTTATCTGAACACTCTTGTTTGACCTTACAAAGTCCAATTATGCACTTTTAGTGGGTTTCACCATCTCTCCCATTTCTGTTGTACACCAGTATAAATGGGCTCCCACAGGATCACTGAGCTGATACTACATCACACCCACAGTTTATTTCTTTGAGGAATGTGCAGGAAGTGCTAAGGAAATATAAATGAATCCAAACAGCTGTCTGATTGAAGGAGTTGTCTGTCTTGATTATTCTCAAATCAATTCCCTCTTATCAGTATCATGTCATCATCAGTGTATGTTGAAATGAGGAAAAGCCGGAGGGCGTTTTTTTGCGCAGAAAGTCCAAAACGGACTTGAAATAATAACTTATGACGTGCCTTTGCCTTAATAACAGCAGCACTTGAGCATGATCTCTACAAGTTTGTGTAAAACTTAATGATCGTTTTATCCAGCATGATCTTGGAAGCAAGACATATTCATTTTTTTGGTTTTTGTTTTGTGTTTTGTTTAGTTGTTGCCTTTTTATTTCTTTCTTTTTTGCTATGCTTTGCTGCTTTTTTTTTTTTTTACTTCTCTTTGCTTTGTTTTTAGGTCTTAAATCCCAGATTTCCAATGTGGTCTCAGATTTTTGGACTCAACTTTATTAATGTACATTTAATGTTTGTGCGTGCATAATAATCTGTCTTGTGTATAAATTGGCCATAACCCTCAGACACAAGTGTAGATGAGTGAAGACCTCAGACTGTGTGCACTGGGCCAAAATCCAGAATCTAGAAGTCACATGAAAGTCTTTCTGACTCTTTCGTCTTCCCCACAGCGGCACTTTTTTTCGACTTGTGTAATACACCACATCACCTCCATGATCACTCAGCTCTCTCCTGCTTTCCTTCTGGCTGCTTTATAACACTTTCACATGCATTTTATTCTGAAACGTGATGCACAAAGAAACGAAAGAAAGTGTGTAATTTTAGGTGCGCTGCAGAACTCTGTGTGTTAAAAGTTGCCCACCCAGAATCAGCTTCTGGATAATTTATGTCTTTTAAGCTCTTATCACTTCCTTTAAAACATAAATAGGATGATGCCATATGACCTCTGACGTTGAATTTCAGGGTTAATTTGCCTCCTCTCCTCTGACAATGACCTCTGCCAATGATCTGCTCTGCTCGGTGCTGACACCCGTTTTTTTTTTTAATTGCAGGTTATGAAAGAATGTGAACATTTTAATTACAGATTGTGAAAATTGTGTGGACGCAGATTGTAGAAAAATGGGGAAGTATCGAGTTAGTGATGCTGGTAAATAAACAAAAAAATAATGCTTATTATAAAAGCTCATTTTGCATCTCAAGGAACTGATCAGTTCTTTTGAGTATCAACTTTGTCGCCGATGTTTCTCTTAAATTGTGTTAGGCACAATAACAGCAGGTGCAAATGAGCTAATTGATGAAATGCAGTGAATTTATGGAGCTATAATATTAATATTAAGAGCACTGGAAAAATTGGATATGGAATCATCTGATGACAAATATTTACATTCATATTGAAATCTCAATTACAGTCTTCCAGAGCACAGTTTGTGATATTGATGAAGATTTTCAAATCAACTCTCAGCAATCTCTTCTGGAATTTTAGACAAGACATGAAAGAGTTATTTCAATTGCTCCATTTTTTTTTTGTTTTGTTTGACTGATCCTTGTAAAAGCAGGTCTTGGCAGTAAGACGGATGCAAAGTAGGGCATTGAGATTCCTTTAGCTCTTGTAAGTAAGAGAAGCTTTAAGCAATAACGTCATACATAGCAAGTTGCTAGTGAGTAATACTTGAGTATGTGTGCAAGAAACAATCATTTTTTTCATTGTGTGTATTGTTTTGGTATGAAAAGGGGTGGGTGTCTTCAGGCATTTGAGGGAAAGTTGGGCATGTCTTAAACACCACCAGTGTCAATGAGTGTCCACTTCCACAAGGTATCTTAGGGTCTGAGAGAAGAGGAAAGAGGGAGGGCTGTTTATTCACTCTTTTCTGTCTGTGTGCAGAGTTTGCTGTGGGTCACTCCCTCCATCTCCTAGAAGTCTACAATTTCCATTTAAGAGTGAGCATCTTCCTCCTCCTCCTGAGCTCATGAAAACCTGCAGCCTGTGTGTGGCACTCATGAGCCAGCCAGAGCTGTTTGGACCACCTGGGTTTCTTTTTTGACTTTTTCATTTTTGTTTTAATGTTATAATATCATCATCATCATCATTATCATCATCTCGCCCGTTTCATTCTCTGAATTGGCAGGTAAGAAATTCAGTTTTGTTAAAAAAAAAAAGAAAGAAAGAAAGGTAAGAGTTCAGTTATACAGGATAAGTAAAATATTTCCTTATATTTTAATACAATTTAAAAATTGTCTGAACAAATAAAAAAGGGACCTTTTTGGTTACTAAACTGCAACAGTGAAGTGAATTCAATTATAATTTGCATATATCTTTAGTTAACTTTGTATGTAATTTGAATGGTGATTATAATTTAAGACCCATGTATATCCAGTTCTATTTTTATTAAGTGTATTTGCCTTTTATATAAAAAAATCCACAAAAAAACCTGACCTTTTTATTTGATTTGAAATGGTCTCATACATACAGTATTTGTACTAAATGCATTTTTCAATGGATTAATATTTCTTCCCACACTGAGAGAGAGGAGGGAGGGGGCAAAGAGGAATGTACAGTAATGTCTGGAGAGTGTGTGAGAGCTTTGTGTGTGTTAAGGTTCTTAACAGATTAATCTTGCTCTGATTCAGAGGTAAAGCCTCTAGCTTTTGCTCTGAACTACAGTTATTTAAATAAATAAATAAATGCAAGCTGCAAATCCATTTTATTTCTTAAAATTAAATTTAGTAAAAATTAAATGAGTAAATATTATTTAAAAAAAAAATAAAATACAATTTTGAACCACTGTTTTAACAAAAATTTGAGTTAATAAAAAAAATCAGTTAATAATTTTATATTAATTTGAATCTCTCTTTCTCTCTCTAAGCTGCAAATATTTGCAGAATGACTTGCTAGTAAAATACTAGTAAAACTGTCCGACCCGAGACTCGTACAGTACGGCCCACCATCTATCTTAGAGCTGGAGTTAGGGCTGATTTGAATAGGGGTTGAAAGAGAAATATTGCTGATGTGTTGCATTTACATTGTAACACTCACTCTTGAGACAACAGATGACCTGTTTCTGCAGACTGTTAACACCCTGACAGTGAGCACTTTGTATTGACCACTGGCACAATAGAGCTTGTTTGATTCAATAAAGAGCAAGGAAATTATTTTTAATTATTTTAGTTTCACTTAACAATAACAACATTAAAGATTGTAAAGATTTTTATGTTTCTAAAGCTATGCATATGTAAATAAATACATTTGTTTTCAATGCAGTCAGTACGTCCATATTGTTTGTTTCAGATATCGAAAAATTAGAAAATATACACGTAATCATTACATATGAATACTAATTAAATTGGGCTGGAACACCCTCATAACCCCTTGGAACCCCTTAACAAAAGCAAAGCAATATCCTGGCAACCACTTGCAACACCCTAGATGGGTTTTGCACAGGCAAGCGACACATTTTATTTAGGCAATGTAAAAAACAAATGCAACTCTAAAAGTTGTGGTCATTAAAATGAGTAATACATTTTGCACAATGTTCTTCTGCCCAAAAAACAAAACAAAAACAGCCTACTTACCCCCACACACAAAACTCGTTGAACAAAGTTGAAATCTGTTTTAGACTCTACAGCTGTGAGTTCATGGAGGTCTGTGTGTGAAGATGTAGGTCTCTGTGTAAAGGAGGCTGTGTGGAAAAGTAATGCCAGGGTCAAAAGGGTGAAGTAAGTTCTTAATTAGGATGGTGCTGTGTCTGTGACTCTCAGACTGGAACCTTACACTCTAACTGTCAGTCACCGATTGAGAGGTTAACTCTTTAAGTGCCTGAGACGTTGAAACAGCATAGGGACTGTGGCTATAATATGTGACCTTATTCTTTTAGAAGGTTTACAGTAGTGTGTGTGGCATTCATACTCTGCATTAATACTTATCATTCCATGTATCTAAAGTGTCTTAGTAATTATGAGTCTTGATGGAAAACATATGAGTGTTATTTGACTTTATTTGCTATATGCATGGGAAGCACTAGAGGGGGCAGGTGCATCCTTATGGTATAAAATCATACGAGATGCAGTTCTGTTTCTATAATTATTTATGTCTGTACATCATTGTTCTGTATGTGGCTTATAGAAGTAATTTTAATCTGGAAATGTAAGTCTCAAAAGAACTCATCTGATGCTAGTTATCATAAATATGAAACCTATGCTACATTAAAAGATCATTTTACCTCAGTGCTCCCCTTCTCCTCCAGTTGCGGTCCAGTGTGCCTGAGTGAAGATGTATCTGGAGAATAAGAGCAATATTGAGGTGGAGATGTCTCAAACCGGAGGACAGGGTCACTCCAGCAGGGTAGGCCGCAGACAGTCTGACACTGTGGCTGGGAACTTTGATGAGCTTCGTCTGCTGGAGGGATTCTCTGGGAAAAGAGAAACGCAGAAATTGCAGCAGGCTGCAGCCATGCCCTCGGGACACTGCATAATCTACACTGACGTCCATCAAGATGATAGGTAGGACAGTAGTAATTGAGTAATTTGATAACTATCAAATACTTAATCAAGAATAAATACTGTTAAAGGGATATTTCACTCCAAAATTTAAATTTAAAATTCATCCATCATATACTCATTCTCATTTTGTTCCATACTTGAATTACTGAACACAAAAGAAGTATTTTAAGGAATGTTTTTGTCCATACAGTGAAAGTCAGTGGAGTCCAAAGCAACATCAAGTCCCACTGACTTTCATTATATGGACCAAAAACAAACAAACAATTAAGACATTTTTCAAATGATAACAGAAATGTACCTTTTTTTGGTGAACTATCCAAGTATATTTTAGTTTTATATTTTTTATATTGTAATTAATAATTAATAATAATTAGTTATTAGTTTAATGGTGCATTCAAGTTAATAATTACACGTCGTAATTACAAGTGGGAAACTCACAACTTTCTTTGAGTTCCTGCATCTGTATTGATGGTAATTTTTTAAAATAAAATTATTATTATTAATATTTTTACATTTAAAGTAAATCTAGCTTGCATGTAAAAAAAAATTATAGTATTGTACAATTATAATAACTAATATAATATATAAATATATTTAACATTTTCATTTGTAGCACCTTCATAATTTGAATAAAAACATAAAAAGCTAAAACACACCAGCTTTCTTTATTTGCCATTATGTAATAGTTAAAAAATGAAATACATTTTGATATATATTTTTTTATTTACTTATTTATTTATTAGTTATTTGAGTACACCAAGTTAAACTAAATTAAAATGAGAAATATTAGCTGAAATGAAGTTTTTTAAATGAATTATTGAAATTATTTCGGTTAATGTTTATTTTATTTAAAGTAATTTTTTTAAAATTGTTTTAGTTTAGTTTTAGTTAATAACCCTGGGTACATCGCCAACTTTCTCCACCCAACGTGACTTGAACACACCTGACGTCTTAATTACGACTTCTCAAATTGTAAATACAAACTTTCCTGGAGGACTTGAATGCACCATATGTCAAAGATGATTTGGACCAATGGGTATTCCCGCCCCAAACACACTCAACCAGACTTTCAAGCTTGATAGTGCCACAGCGTTTATACTCTTCTGGGAGATCAGTCTACAAATGACTTGCTTATAGTTGTCCCTGCACATTAAACTGTGGTAAGAGAAAGTATTTTAACAAAGTACAACACCTCACCTTTGAGATGTTTCAAAGAAAGCTCATGCTGGGAAAGGAATCTTAATGCAAAATGTACTTTACGAATTCATTGTAACAGTGCACTTCTACTATTATGGCTGACATTCATCTGAACACATTTGGCAGATAAGGTCTCCAGAACCCTTAGTGAGAGCTTTTCTGTGTGAAACAGCTGCTAATCGACTCTAAAGAGGATTGGTGCTCACGTGTGGAGTCACATTACTGTAGTAACGCCATTGCAACAACGGAAAAATGTGTGTGTGAAATACTGTAGAATATGACGATGGGGGTCCTTAATCTCAAGCTTGTGGTTGTTACATTTTTCAGATTAGACAGTACAGTTTTAGATCAGCCATCACGTGATTAATTGTTAGTCATGCATGAGATGAGATCTGCTTCTGCTCTCATGACTGCTCTCTCGTACAGGAATTCTTTAATGATAACCACTCTCAATGAAATCAGCTGATCACATCACATGTATTATTTTACAAAATATGCATTTAAGTAGTTGTTTCTCTGTTCTCTATGACTTTCTCTATCTTATATATTCCGTAATTGAATTAAATAGAAAGTTTCAATAGTTTGTCCGATGGGAAATATGCCACAATTATATATAAATATGCTATATATTATTACACGCATATTATTGTTTAAAAGTTTGGTGTCAGTAATATTTTTAATGGGTTTGAAAGTCTCTTATGCTCACCAAGACTGCACTTATTTGATCAAAAGTACTGTAAAAACAGATATAAGTATATATTGTGTGTGTGTGTGTGTGTGTGTCCACAGACACATTTGTAACACTGTAAATATTTTTACTGTTACTTTTGAGCCGTTTAATGCATCCTTGCTGAACAAAAGTATTAATTAGAAAAAAACTCTAATTAATACTGAACTGAAACTGAAATTTCTGTTTGACTTTACAATATGATATTATTAAAAATGTAGCAATTTTCTTCATATTGTTCATGAAATTAAATTGAGTATGTCAGGTAGCATTCAATTTGACTTTTATTCTATGCTGGATCTAAGAGGATGGTAGGTGTCCCACTGGGTTATGTACTCCCCCTCTTTGGTTTCATTCTCATCTGAACCTCACACACTCGGGTTCATGCACAATAAGAGAAAGCTTTGCTTCATTTATAAATCCTGCATTCTGAGAGCTAACATTTCAAATCTCCTCTCCGTTGTGTAACTGCAGGGAGAGGGATTAAAGGCCTTGAAATATCCTGTCTAATCTCCCTTTTGCCCAAACTCAACACCAGGATATATCCTGGAGGCCATGGCTATTATGTCTTGTCTGGAGCACATAAAAGCACACACACACACACACACACACCCCATCCCAGCTGTTTGCAGTGAACTGAGGCATCGGTAGGGGTGGGTGAGTTGTTTGAGTCCTCTGTAATGCTAAGCAGCTGAGGTTTGGGATTTGCCCAATGATGTGTTAGAATTGTACTAGGGTTGAGTCTATAGTCTGGCCTGTGCTGAGCAGCATTGATCTATTCTGGCATTCTGCAAAAAGCTCTCCATAACTCACACACAAACTCAGAGCCAATTGAAGAGATAAGAGGGACTTTACCCATTTAAACTGTCATTAATTATGACAAACAGAGAATTTTTCTCGATTATTAGATTAGTGAAGAGACTCCAGTAATTAGCCCACAGAGTTCTCGGGATTTCCATCTGTTCTGTTCACACAGGCCGAAAAATATCAACACTGCTGGTGTCTCTGAGCATTGAGCAATAGCTCAGAACTGATCTTTTCTCTTCCCCCTCTTCTTCTTGAGACTTCTATTGATTTTTCTGTTGTTATTGAGTATATGAGATGTGAAATGATTGACTACAGTAAATAAAGCTTTCCTTGTCTGAGGAAGTAGAGAGGATAAAGTGTGATTACTGAATGAAGGAATGCTAATGGCCCAAATTATATTGAAATACATTAATGTGGTATTACAGTTGAAATACATTAATGTGGTACTACAAAATTATTATAATTATAAATAATTATTATTGATGCATGTCAGGGTTGCCCAAACGGGGGTTCGCAAGGAAACTGCACAGGGTTCAGGAGTTAATGAAAAGATAATAATTAAATAAATCAAATGTAAAATTAAAATAACCAAATAGTGCTGCAGAATTATTTGAAATAAAACTGAAATCACAATATATTTTATAAATACTGTATACAGTCAAAACAAAAATTATTCAGACACCAGAAATAATCTTTTATATTTTTTTTAGTAGTTGGTGCAGGACACTATAGTTCATTTATGTAAGTAAGGATAGCTAAATAAAGTCAACTGTGACATATTATACCCAAAAATTCTTTATACAGTGGACTACCAGTAAAATTGATACAAATTTGGGACCAAAAATTATTCAGACACTTTGACCTGACCATGTTTTGCTTAAGTGTTATCTGACATTATCAAGATGAATTTGTTCTGACACAGTTTAACTCTGAGTTCTTGTCATATTTTATTACCATTTTCTAAACTATAGCGAATAAACTGTGATAATGTGTGAAATGTTGAAGGTGTCTGAATAAATTTTGGTTTGACTGTACATTTAAGACATATAGATATCTCCAAGCATCTTGGAGACGTTGCCACAGTTCTTCTGGATTTAGCCTGTCTGCAGTTTTTTTCTGATTCTAGATGGGTGAGAATCAGAATTAAAACAACTGATACCCTGGGTCAGCATTTCAGTTTTGCATGTACTTTATAGTCCTGATTTCTTTGATTGATACTCTTAACTTGGATATCTGTTATATGACATGTTGAAAGATAAATATTTTAAAATCATGAGATTGTGGCATTTACTTTTTTGAGGGATTCATGCATTACATAAGCCTGTCACTGACACAAGACAAAGTCACAAAGCAATAGTTTATTTCATCGTGCCACTGTGTTTTATAGCATGTAAACCAAGGCCAGAACATTATTCTAGTTTTCAAGGCCCAGATAAGCAGCATGCTGTTGTCCATACACCTGTCATAACCATATTCTTTCCTCTGTGAATCTGCAAACTACCTGATGCCCATCCACCCTGACAAGTTACGAGGTGTCAGTTAAATCATCAAGACAGCTGTAGGAGGACACAATGGACCAGAAGGATGACTTATATAATTGTCCTTAATCTTTTGGATGTGTAGCTTGCTTATGTTTGCAAATCTACATTTATTTTATGATCATGTAGCTTAGACCTTGTTTGACACACTAGACCAGGATGTTTGATTATGGTGTAAAGATGACTGAACAGAGACCAAAAAGGAAGAATGACTTTCAGTTCTGCTCAAAGACTTTTAGTTCCATTTTATTTCAGCTGTCAGTTTTTATAGAAGAGTCATTAAAAATGGATGCCAAGAATTGATTTCTAAATGTGGCTGAGATGTTATTTATGACCGACATCATGCTCAGATTTAATAAGTTTTCTCCTTGTTCCCAGGCACAGCTTCAGCATGGTAAACCTCCTCAAAGGCAAATCCAACCAAGCCAACCACACAGAACGGTCACCCCTTCTCAAGTTTCCCCAAAATGACAGGTGAGCCTAAATATATTTCCCCTTTGGTTTCACAGTATTATATATTAGATGTTCTTGTTTTCTTTTCTGTTCTTCAATGAACAATTCCGTTAAGGTTTGTTTTTCTTGATTTCATTTTATTTGAAACCAAAATGTATGTATTTATTTGACTTATGTATGTATTCCTTTAATTGCTTACAAATAACAATAAAATCCACTGGCACTCCTACTTTATAATAATCTTTTTCAATTAATCATTTGCAAACAGATCAGAGGTTGATACGCATTCGGTTATAATTATATGTACCAAACTATACAAATCAATGTTTAATGGCTTTTCTGGTTATTTTAATATTAATTAATCATCTGTTAAGCATAATAGAATATCATTTTTGTTTGCAAAGCATTAACCACTCGTACACACGGAATGTATCCCTCTTTCTTTCAAAGTTGTAGGACCTGTTGACAGGGGAGCCGCTAAGGGGGGGAAAGTTAGGACGATTCTAAGGGCCCACGCACTTTTGGGGCCCCCAGAGATCTGTTTTTTTAGTAGTAACAGTAGTAGTAGTAGTAATGTAATAGGAATTATAAATGTATCTACCAAAGAGTTACAAATAAAACAACAAATTACGGCTTATTCTGCATTTCCGGCAAAATTATCTCCCCCCATTCACTGCATGGTTTCATCCCATCCTACGTAGCCTAGAGTCACTGAGTGAGATCAGATGGTAAACTGTCAAATTAGAGATGTCTTTGAGTTCGAGGGGGGCAAACCGAGCCGGACGATTTGGTCAGTCGCACTTTTAAACACATTTTAGTTTTGCTATAGAAAAACTACAAATTCACTCTGATTACATAGAGCCTGATTAAGTAGTCAAACTCATTCCATATCAGCAGAATAGTGTTGTACAGAAAGTCTAAGCTAGCGGCGCCCCTGCCTGTTGACTTGGCTTTACTCAAGAAAGCTTCTGCAGAATAGCTGTAGGAATATTACCTGGGGTCTGTAATTACCGACCTCATTATCATTCAGTAATGAGAAAAAGTGGCTTTGTGACCTTCATTTCCAACAATTATTTTATATATTACCAGGTTGAAGACAAACACAGTTCCTCAAATAATGTATGGCATTTTGATATCTTGAAGTGTTCTTGACCTCTATGTACTTCTTAATTAAACCAAACACTGCCTGCAGTACGGTATCTGAACTCTCAGTTGTCAGACTCTATAATAATCTGTATTGATTCCAACACATTGAATATGATACCAGACTGGAGCTCATTCCAGTTTGCTCAACCAGTCAGGAATATGTTATTAGCCATGTAATTTGCATAAGAATCCCAAAATTTCTATATAAAACGTTTTTTGTATTTTTGTATACAAATCAATATTTTTATGTGGGAACTATCTATAATAGTTTTTAGGTCTTTAATATTTTTGAGGCATGAGTCATTTTGTTTATTGCATTTCCTGAATTTCCTCAGCATCCTGAGTCCTTGATTCACCCATGTATCCCTATCAGAACTCTAAAGCCAGTGATTTTTATGTAACAAGAGTCATAGTCATAAGGATTACACCTGTATTTAATTTTGTTTGGGTGATATAATGTCCTCTTCAGTGCTGAATATTTCTATTTTCATGAAACGTTATTTTATCAGGTACGTCAAGAAAAATAAAAAGTAGGATAAGTTTTCTTATGAAAATTGAAAGCTCAATGAAAGTTCAAATGGAATCAAACAGGATTTTAATGTATTAAATGTTTGTCTGTGTAAGGGGACCCCTTATTGCAGTTTCTTGTAGTTCTTGTTTGCATTTTTTTTAGCTATGTCAAACTCTATTGTGTAGAAAAATTAAGTAAAAAAAATACATGTGTGTGAGCAAAAATTAAATTTAATGCTAAATTAAATTACATAATTTGTCATGATTGCAAATGGAGTATAACATATAGAGTCATATAAGACATTACATTTTAATAATGAAATGCTGAATTTTAGCTTCTAGATGTAGTTGAAGTTAAAGCTGCAGTCCGTAAGTTTTGCCTCTTTGTCGCCATCTCTGTTTGAAAACCTGCAATTGCAGCTGTCTGCGGAATTATCTTCCTTGGGTTGTGCTCCGGCACGGCTTCAGCGCGGATGAATCTAATTAGGGATGGGTGATACCTCTTATTTTATTTTCGATCCGATACCGATATTTTCAAGCCCAGTATCGTCGATACTGATACCTATTAACTAAACTGATCTTTTAAATTATTAAAATAATATAATCAGTAATTATACTCACTTAATATTAGATTTTAAAGCCATGTTTTTAACATTCCATAGGCCTTTTTGTTTACACTATAAGAAATAAAATATACTATAATTGTATTTTAGCCCTTTACTGGGGCAGTAACCTCAAAGGTGCAACTATACCCCTAAAAGGGAGCATATTAGTGCCATACAAGTACCACTGGAACTGATGACTTACAGCCACTTTTAACTAAATGTAAATAGACACCCCGTATTTTTTATTCCATAGTAAGGGCAATTCATACAATACATTTAAACTGAGCTACTTTAATACCATCGCCGAACTTTCTACCACGACTCTGCTGTTCTTCGGCTGGTTCTTCCTGTTATTTTGTTTTCGAATTTGTCATTGTGTTTTCTGACTTGTTATAATGTTTTCTGAATTGTTGTTGCATTTTCTGAATTGTTATTTTGTTTTTTAGACTTGCATTTGCATTTGTAATTTGTTATTTTGTTTTCAGAATTGTGATTTGCTTTGCACTTCTCGGCCACCGTAATTTTTCCACTTAGAAGCTTATTTTATGCACTGAATTTCTTGAGAAATAAATAAAATTAATGGTTAAAAAATGCACTTTAGAATCGATATTTTTACGTGAGGATCGATCCTTTCGATACAACATCAGTATCGAAAGTATCGATAGGCCTAAGTTACTTAAGGATCGATCCGCCCATCCCTAAATCTAATGTTTTGAGGTGAATGTGTGGCTGTCAGTCACCGCACCGGTGTGGATATTTACTGTACTTCGCAATCACAGATTCTAGCCTACTATTAATCGCTTCCTAGCTGCAGAAGTGATGTGTTAATTTGAGTGATAGTAAAAGTTATCCAAGAGGGATTGGATTTTCACAACTAAATTTAAAGGTGAAGTGTTTCATTGCCATGAGACTAGCGGCAACAATTGTGACTGCAAAAATAATGATTATTGTAAACAAGTTTCCCGGGTCTAAATAATACATTTGACCACTAAACAGATAGTCCTGCCCCAAACTCATGCCATTGGTTAAGTCAGAAGTCAATATCTTTGACTGCTCAAACAAAGAAAGCAACATTTTGCGAGCACCACAGTGTTTAACACATTGTTTTTATACTGTTCTGTGCAGTATCACCTACATGACACTGCATGAGTCCAGCCTGGGATCTGGAGAGGAATCATGGGAGGCCAGCTCTGCTGAACTGGAGAGGAGGTGCAGGCTGGGCAGTGAGGTGGCCTGTCTCTCCCACATCACATCCATGGATAAATGTGAACATTACTTCAAACTATCATCACCCATCAGGTACGGCATACATACACTACCATTCAAAATTTGGGGTTAGTTAAAAATTCACAACAATATTAACAGGACCCGTCCGTGCGTCCGTCCATCCATCCATCCATCCATCCATTCAGTTGTACAGGAGAACCATTGTAGAAAAGCATGTAGAAATCTCGGTAACACTTTAGAATAATGGTCCGTTGTTAACAAGTAACTATGCAGGAAGTAATAGGTAGTACTACATTAACACTTAACTTAATACTATTAACTAATAGAGGAGCAAGATTAACTAAGCAAGTAGTAGCAAATTTAGCACAAAGGTAGTTCCTTATTAGATATCTGATAATTATTAAATAAAAATATCCTCATTGAGAACTACTTGCGAACTATGACCAGTTAATAAAGAATAACCAATTAATTACTAATCACAACAGTAACATCTTAAAAGTGAACAATTGGGTTCTTTGTGGAAACTAATTTATGAATTTGATATCCTCCAAATAAGTTGGCTGCATTTTAAAATTGTGACTACTGCTCTTACCAAAGGATGGATGTTCAGTGTTTATTTCAAACTTAAACATAGAATAATAATAAAAATGATAAACACAGAATAATAATAAAAATTAAAATTCACTTAAAAATGTTAATAATTAAGAAGTGATGCTGACAATCTCATGACTGAATTAGTTCGCAATTATGATCTCTGCTTCGTGTCAGTTCAGTATCAATGTATCCCACTCCAAAAGACCTACTGGTAAAATATCACTAGTGCGTCACACAAATGCATGACTGTACAGAATGTGTCAGATATAAAATATGTTATATAACTCATTAATTTACTTGTGAGTAATTACTGAGTGGTTAAGGTGTTTTTCACTTTAAAATAATGGTCCAGATCACTAGTAGTTCCTTAGTAGCACTTTAGCTTTAAAGTGAAAAATGCATTAGGCCAGTTAAGTATTAATGTAGTACTACCTATTACTTCCTGCATAGTTACTTTGTTAACAACGGACCATTATTCTAAAGTGTTACCGAAATCTCTTTACTGTAGCTCCGTAACTCAAAATTCTGGGACATTAAATGTGTTTCTGTTGCAAGGTAGATGACATAACTAAACATGAACATAAGTTTGCTTTTATAGGTATTGCTTAAGGACAACAACAATCATCACCATCTTCATCATTGTTGTTCTCTGTTCAGTAAGTTTTTCAGTCGTCAAACCTACTCAACAGCTTTTGTTATATAGAATAATATCCATTTATGATTGTATTACTTACAAATGCTCAATTATTTTATTTGTATGACACCCTGAAATAACTATATTTATTTGAATCATCAGCTGTTTTTCAGCATGTATCCAGACAGGGAAAGCCCCTGGAGGATGCTAGCAGTCTCATCCACCGAAAGTTTCTGTATCCTCCCCATTTGTGTACTTTAGAGAATCTGCATTGTTTGGATTTGCATTGACTAGATAAATAAGAATCATTAATTCACAAGTCAAATATTGTGATGATGCATGCCACTGCGCTAACTCCTCAGACCCTGCGGGGATTTTATGGTTGGTTCGGAGATTGCACTGAAGGGCTGCTCTAATTCATTTCCGTTTCTGTGACAATCTCACCATCTGCTATTTACAGCGGCCTGTGTCATGGTAACAGTCTTGCCTATGACTTTGTGCATAACAACAGATCTGGCTGATACTTGCAGCAATCTGTGAGTCCTGCAGAGCTGGAGAGATGAATGTGAAGAATGAACAATGCACTGAAGTGCTTCAATGTACCTTCTGCTGGTGGGAGGGGATTGTCTGTCCAAAATGAAACCATGGCCAGCTGACATCTGTTTGCAAAATTTTTCCAAAACACTCAGGTTAAAGCTTGATAGATATTCAGTGTTTGTATTTTCATTTGTTTCCCTAGTTCATGGAAGTTTTTCTTAACCTAACTGATCACTGTAGCCATGAATCTTACTGATTTTCGTGACAACTCCCTGCTGAAGCTGCAGGTTGGTGGGCCGTTTTTGGGAGGGATGGAGGCAGTTCAAGAGACCCAGGAGTATATTCTGATCCAGGTGGAGCAGACTGAAGAGGCGGGGTCTCGCAGGAGAAGAACTCAGCAGGTTGGAGTTGTTTCAATATATATGTTGTTTTATATTTCATTTTGTAAAACATTTAGCTTGAAAAGTGTGTTTATTCCTTAATAAAAATAGTTTGGGGTCAGAAAGATTTTTGAATGTTTTTGAAAAGTCTCTTATGCTTGCCAAGACTGCATTAATTTGAATGAAAATGACAGTAAAAACAGTAATATTGTGAAATATTATAGCAGTTTATTCCTGTGATGGCAAAGCTGAATTTTCAGCAGCCATTAATCCAGTCTTCAGCATCAAATGATCCTTCAGAAATCATTTTAATATGCTGATTTGGTGCTCAAGAAACATTTCTTATTATTATCAATTCTTATCATGTTAAACATTTCTCTAATTTCTTGTTGAAAACAGTTGTGCTTCTTAATATTTTTGAAGAAGCCGTAATACACTTTTTTTTCAGGATTCTTTGATAAGTAGAAAGTACATGTATTTTCTTAAAAAAATAAATACAAATAAAACAACTTACTGACCATACACTTTTGAATGGTACTGTATTGTATTATTTCTATAGAATAGAATAGAGTAGACTAGAATACAAATTTAAATGTCTTTAAATGCCTTATAGTTTGATTGTAAAGGCATTTATACATTTTAAGGAGTCACTTATAAGTATCCAAATACACTGAACAAAATTATAAACGCAACACTTTTGTTTTTTTAGAGTGGCCTTTTATTGTGGCCAGCCTAAGGCACACCTGTGCAATAATCATGCTGTCTAATCAGCATCATGATATGCCATACCTGTGAGGTGGATGGATTATCTCGGCAAAGGAGAAGTGCTCACTAACACAGATTTAGACAGATTTGTGAACAATATTTGAGAGAAATAGGCCTTTTGTGTACATAGAAAAAGTCTTAGATCTTTGAGTTCAGCTCATGAAAAATGGGGGCAAAAACAAAAGTGTTGCGTTTATAATTTTGTTCAGTGTACTTTTTCAGGATGCTGTATGTAAAATGTATATAAAATTAAAATGAAAAGATTAAAAGAGATTATTCTATACATTCAGAATATAAATAATATTTTTCTAACAGGTGCTTTATAACTGGACTATACCATTGCATTCCCAACGAAGTGACCAAATTCTGAGAACAAGGACATTTGAAATGGTTAGCAGGTATGATTACACATTCCTCATCAAACAAAGACATTCATGTTATGTGGTGCACTTTATTGCATCTATTGCTCCATATAAAAAAAGCAGATTAATCACACTACTGTCATCAGATTTTAACTGTGTTAATAGTTCAGTAAATTTGATCATGTGATAATGTTATTTTTGCAGTAGTTTCTTTCATCGTATATGCATCTCCATCGTCTCCATACATGCATCTCCATCTCTCTAATCGGTATCTTTCTCTTGTCCTCCAGCGCTCCTATTCTGATCAGTGTGCAGGCCTTTCTGTTAGACAGTCAGGTGGTTCCTCTGTCCATGACTCACCAGTCACTCTATGTAACCGTGGAAACACAGGTGCTTATCGCCGGATTGATCCTGGCAGGAGTCTATGTGCTCATCATCTTTGAGGTAAAATATGAGGTGTCGGTGTGAAGACATTATTTTCACACCGCACGATAATCCATTCAATGGTCGTTCGTGACTCATCCCATATTTCATCCCCATAAACAAGATCATCTCGGCTGTTTTGCCACATTGACGGTGTGGAGTCGTCTGAGATTTGCGTGCACATATCTGTAGTCTTTTGTAACTCCTCAGGAAGAGTAGATGGCATGCTGGGTATGTGGTTCATAAACATTCTAAAGTTGTGCTTGTAGATCCAGCACTATACTGAGATGTCCTTGGCAGTAGCTATTCATAAATTTACAGTTTATTTTTTTTATTTGTACCTGTACCGCTGTCGAGCACTAGAGGTCACTGGGCTTTACCAATGTTAACAGGAAGAGCTTTTACTCACTGTGATTCCACAAAAGTATATCGGATTTTTGGAATACCAGAAACTGACTTCAAATTGGATTTAGAGTGCTTGAATTTTATAGCATGACCGAATTGTATTAGTGCAAATGCCTGAAACCAGTTTTTATTTTTTAATTTTAAATTGAAAATACACAATGTTTTAAGCCTTTGAAACATTCTAAATTAAATATTATGAAGTAAAGTCGAGAAGAAGGACTCTGCAGTATTTCTAGTTCACGTTGTGTCATTGATCATATGAACTCCTGTACAAAATGTCAGATGTCCCTTGCTTCCACTGAAGCACAAAAAATTCCTACTTCAATTCATGTTGGATAACATGGATCATTCAGAGTTTGTGTAGCTTGAGTGCTGCTGTCAATCAAATGAATGAGAGACAGGCTAAGACATTCTGAAATTCAAGTTAATTTTTCAATTAAACTGTTCACTCAAACGTGATAATATCATTTGGTATAAAAATGTAAATGATAAAAGAATGCAAAATAGGACCATTGTCACTAGTGGTCTCCTTTGGACTATATGTAAAAATGTACTTTTCTGGTCTCTATTGCTCATGATGCCAATTCACCTTAAAAATGAATCATTTCAGATTTTATATATTTATTTGTTTGAATTTTTTATTTTTTTGCTCACTGTACATATCTATTAGTCTGAACAACTCTTAAAAGATGTAGATTATTACAGAGCCTTACAGCAAAACACTCCTCCACATTTTTAACTTCCTTTTCTCCCTGTAGTGCACACTTTTTAGAGTTTGCGAGAAAGTGGCGCTTTAGTGTGGCTCCAGGGGGACATGAAGGCAGAGGGGACCTCCCTTCCTAATTACATTTATTTCTTTAGGAGGGACAGCATGCTGCGTGTCGAAGAGTTTAATTAGACCTTTGTGAGAATGCTAATGGAGACTTTGGGGGTCTATGTTTCCACTTTTACCGTTAATACTAATGCTTCATAGCTATGGCTACACCGTCATCAAGGAGCTGAGAAAATACAAATTATATGTTTTTAAAAGTGAACTAATGAACAAATTTTTTTGTTGATTGGGTGAGTCATCCTAATTTTATTTATTGTGTTTTTAAAACAGGGTTACTTGGGGAGCATTACCTCTGTGATCATATTTTTATGAGAAATTTCCCCAAACCCCAATATATTTAGTTTTATTTTATTTTATTTTATTAATTTTTCTGACCATTTGAAAACATTACAACTTCAATCAACTGTGATATGTATATGAACTAGTTCCCAGGCTTTTTAGATATCATCAAAAAGTGTTAGAAAAACACAGTAGCTTTGCTGTCCAGCTGAGTGCAGCCTGTTCATTTTTAATGATGAATATCACATACATAACACGGCATGACATTTCAGTAGAAGTAACATAACACCTAAACAACACTTGCTCATACAGTCTTAGTCTAAATGTGTCTCCATGTTCAGTTATGCTTCTGTAACTTTTTGATCTTGATTTACTAGGAAATATAGCCACCATTACCCAGTCCAGTTATGATTAAAATATTGCTGGTTCTCAGGCATTGATCTAAATGGCAAATGATGTTGCCAAATGTATGTGTGCGTGTCAGAAGGAAGGTGCAGCTGCCCAGATTGTGCCTTCATAATCAGCTTTTAATAGACTGCTGAGTCAGATGATATACTACAGTACTGGACATTACAGTTTTTTTAAATTCGCTTTAGTACTATTTTCACAAGCAACTGTTAAATTTTCAAAACTCTTAGTACTAATATCACAACAGATCATCAAAAGTGCACTTTTTTCAAACATTTCAGCATATTTTCAATTGTCTTGGTGCAATACACAATCACAAAGTATTCTTTTCACTACGCAAAATAAGTGTTTCATCTATATAAATGTTTAATTCACAGTAACTGCCTTTCATAAAGCTCTTACTATCAAACTTCTCATTCAGTTTAATACATTTGTCTATTATTTAATCTAACTCAGTGAATCATTTGGTGCATCTACAGTGGGTATAGAATCACCCCCCCCCCTTTAAAATAATAACATTTTGTTGAATGAAGATGGACACAGTTTTTGTTTTATATATATATATATAGAGAGAGAGAGAGAGAGAGAGACAGATATAGTTTCTAAATAACTTGTTTGCAATTTAGGGATAACCAAATGTAATTAATTATTACCTGATTATTGAATGCTGACAAAATCACCAAAAAACTCCCTTTGAGGATGTCCTCATTTGTAAAACTGTGTGTTTTGCAATTTGTGAACATACAGCAGGATACAAGGGAGAGGAATTGATCAGAGATTGGTAAGATATATAAGAAGACGGGAGACAGATGGCATCAAATACAGCATTTTACATTACATTATGTCATGATGTGATACTGTATATAGAGACATTACCATGGTAGAGACTGCACATTACTATATAAAGTTCAGCTACAGTATAGATTCAGTCATATGGCACAGTGAGGACATTCACTGACAGTAAACTGTTCTAGCAGAAAACCTTATGGCCATGTCACACCTTTTGATACAGTAACACATAAATACTTTTACAAACATTATGGATTTTATGTGAGTTAAGCAAGTTAGGTAATGTAAGTGTATTTTCTAACATGACAATTATTGCTTGTATTATTGTAATTATTTCAGCAACAGGTGATTTGAAAGATGTATCTTGCATTGTTTGCTCTTGAATGAACTGATTGTTAAAAGTACTAAATTGAAAGAAGATCACAATGTTGCATTTCAGTGATTAAATCAAATGTTCTTGATATATATTACAATAATCTTAAGTTTTGAAACAATGATTGTGTTGATGAAAATATGTGTAATTGTAATGAAAGCATGAGATCAGGTTACAAGTGTGATCAGTTTGGATTTTTGAAATTATACACCTTGTGAAAATAGTACAGCATAGCATAATAAATGATCAGCATAGCAATTTTAGTGTAAAAATGTAAACATTTAAAGGAATTTCTCTATGTCTTGGCATTTGGTTTGTCCCCCTTTTGCTTTAATGACAGCAGCACTTGAGTTTTGAATACAACCTAACGATCATGTTATCGAGCGTAATTTGGTATCTTCAAAAGAGTCTTGTTATCTAGTGTAAGAAAGAATATCTGTCATCAATACCCCCCTTTTTTTGGCTGGTTTGATTAGTGACCAAGAATTAGTGTGGAATCTTAAATATTTCTTACATAACATTTCTTGGTTTAAGATCTTTCAAAATTATAAAACTTTTTTTATTTTATTTAAAAAAACATTTGATTAGCATTACAGATTCCACAGTCTGTGGTCTCAAACTTTTGGACTCCATTGTAAATAAGGAAGCCTTTGTTGTATTGACCTGTGCCTGATCTTCCTGTCTGCATTGCACAGCAGCTTGGTGATAATCCTCTGAGTTGATCTAGAATCAGCACTCTGAAAACTACTTTGATTAAAAGGGCTCAGATGGTGAGTTTCATCAGCAGCTCTGATAGCTAAAACTAATTTGCCTCGAGAGAGGGCAAAACCTGAAATGGGAGATATATAATAGTATGATATGCTTATAAATATTAATATGCCTTAAAAGATTCATGAATAATGTATTTTCACAATCTAATTGCAGATATCTTGTAAACACTTTAATAATGGCTGATAGATTATTCTTAAATTAGACTAGAGTTGCAGTTGCTCAGTAACTGGGGGGCTTTGAGTATAAAACTAACATTACATCTCACACAAGCACATTTTGACATTTAATTTAGCTTAAACTCTTTCTCACTATATAATTGAGAGTAATTGGTTTAAATCACAAAACAGAGAAACGTTAGTCTCAGAGGATACTTTCTTATGCAAAGCAACACAATGCATATCCATGTTGCTGATTAATTCTGCTCAGAAAGCAGTGTTCAACAATTTATCTTAATGTCCTGTTTTAGACTTACAATCACAACATTGCACCAAGTGTTCCTCCCCCTCAGGGAAGTTGTCGGACTGACATAGATTACTTGCTCCTTCGAGACTGGAGTCATTAACTGTTATCCTGCATGTTGTGTACTCATCGCCCTTCTTTTGCTCTTCTAGCTGATTACACGGTCTTGCAATGACTTTATATGGCATCTTGACACATGACACCGAAAGAGGTGCATTAGACAAAGTTTGATTCAGGTGTTCCAGTCAAGTGCTCTCACCAGGAAAACAGATGCTGAAGATGTTGATATCTGACAGTGCACTTTAAGGTGATTGAAGAGCAGAAAACCAGAAGACGTTGTCGACTGACACACATCCTCGTGAATCTGGATTTATCATTTGATTATAAGAGTGCATAAAAGGGTCAGAATGAATTAAATGTAAGAAATGAGGTGGATCGAACATAAATGAAGAGTGGGGAAGAGGGTTAATAGGCATTTTTAATGAGCAAATTTATTCACTTGTCCAAAGGCTGTTTTACAGCCTTATGTTTTACATATTTAATAGTGTTTGCTAAGACAATCATCACTGTTACTGTTGCTGATGAGAAGGGTTTGGGATTTAAACAAAGCCCTAATCCCAACAATTTTGTGCTACGGGTGAGAATGATACCTCGTAACATGCAGCTTGTTGTGCTATTACATTTCTAAGCAATCAGACTTATGATTTTTGCCTGCCGGATGATAAAATGGTGAGAAAACCACATTGGCTTTCAATGTAAGAAGTACCATAACATAATTGAGACTTGGGGGCATTAAGCATCCACTTACAACATCCTAGCATCCGCATAGCAACGTGCTAAAACACTCAGAACACCATAGCAACCACATAGCAATGCCCTGCATTGTGCATAGGGAAGCACAAATCTAGTACATTATTATATGACCAGATTTGTAATAAAATTGCCAAAACATTGTACTCCAATTATGATATATTACCTCTTATCTTATTTTTCTTTGTTTATTTGTTGTTGCAGATTGTTCACCGCACTCTGGCTGCAATGTTAGGATCCCTGGCTGCTCTGGCAGCACTGGCTTTCATTGGAGATGTAAGTTTTTGTTTTAGAGAATGTTATTTAGTCCATTCTGATGAAGATTGCTTACATTGTGTCAAGAGTTGGGCTCTGGGACTTCATTAATTTTGAGAACTGCAGTGATGATTTTATTTTTATTAGCTAAAAGAAGCCTATAAGATCTCAGCATCATTATTTATATATCATAGATAATATATAGTGGCAAATTCAGATTCAAATTACAGAGCATTAGCTTCAGTATGTTATACAAACCCTGGCAAAAATTATGGAATCACCACACTTAGATGTTCACACATTTTTTCTTTTACTTCATAACAAATAAATGAATCACAGATATGACACGAAACTATTTTTGTTTTATAATTCAACATTCTTGTTAAGTGAAACATACCTCAAACAAATGAGATTAAACTCAGTTAATGAATGGAAAATTGTTTTCCATATCATTGAGGGGAAAAAAATATGGAATAAACCAAAAAAAAAACACAATTAGTAATTTGTTGATCGTCCTCTGGCTTTTATGATGGACTGAAATCTTTGGGGCATGGACTTCACTAATGAAAAACAATATTCTTCAATATTGTTAAAACAATAAAAACAATATTCTAAGCTGGTTCCAACTTTCTCGAATAGCACTTGACAGATCAGCTTTGCAAGATGGAGCCTTGTCATGGACCAGTTCTTTCAATTTCCACCATACATTTTCAGTTGGATTGAGATCTGGACTGTGTGCTGGCCAATGTGGCCATGCCATTGAGTTGATATGCCTTTCCTGAAGAAAAGCTTTAATTCAGTTGGATTGAGATCTGGACTGTGTGCTGGCCAATGTGGCCATGCCATTGAGGTGATATGCCTTTCCTGAAGAAAAGCTTTAACACTCTTTGCTTTATGACAAGATGCATTATCATCCTAAAAATGACATCATTATCACCAAACTTCTTTTCTATCGATGGAATGAGAAAATTGTCCAAAATTTCAGTGTACACCTGTGCATTGACTGTTCAGGTAGGGTTGCCATTTCCCCTGGTCCTTTACCTGACATGCAACCCCATATCATAAATGAGTTGGGAAATTTCATTGTTTTCTTCAGGCAGTCATCTTTATACATTTCATTAGAACGGCACCAGACAAAAGTTCCAGCATCATCTCCTTGTCCAATGCAGATTCGTGATTCTTCACTGAATATCACTTTCATCCAATCATCCACACTCCATGACTGCTTCTCTTTAGACCACTGTAACCTTGTTGTCTTCTGTTTAGGTGTTAATGCTGGTTTTCATTTGGCTTTTCCATATGTAAATCCCATTTTATTCAGATGGTTTCTTACAGTTCTGTCACACACATTGACTCCTGATTCCAGCCATTTGTTTTTAATTTGTTTCATTGTGCATTTTCTATTTTCAAGGCAAATTGCTTTGAGTTTTCTATCCTGACGCTTTGATGTCTTCCCTGGTCTGCCTGTATGTTTTCCTTTTATAACCTTTCCATTTTGGAAAACCTTTCCATACTTGTCTTGCACCAAATTTTAGAAACAGCTGACTGAGAATATCCAACTTCTTTTGCCACACTCCATGTTGGATTTCCATCTTGAAAGAGTTTTATAATCCTTTCCATCATTTCAACTGACTGCTCTCTTGTTGGGGCCATGTTTCCTTTCTATTAGCCAAGTCCAACAGCTTGTTAAGGTCTGTAAGCACTCTCTTTTAACTGCTGAATAATTAGCATTTTAGATATGTGCCGGGATTTGTTTCAGAAATGCAAATTACAAGCTGATTCCATCATTTTTTCCTCAACATTGAATGATTCCATATTTTTTTCCTCTACTTGATATGGAAAATAATTTTCCATTGATTAAAATATTTTAATCTCATTTGTTTGAGGTATGTTTCACATAACCAGAGTGTTGAATTATTAAACAAAAATGGTTTTGTGTCATATCTATCATTCGTTTATTTGGTATAAAGTAAAACAATTATTTTTGCCAGGGGTTGTATATTCTAATTGATGCAATTATTTCAACAATTCAGAAAACCCAGTTAAGACTGGGATGTGAAAATACTCTTCTGTATCTGAGGAAGGAGACAATGACTATTTCATCCCATTGTCTTTACTGTAGAGGCCAAGTCTAATGACTGTTGTGGAATGGATTGACTATGAAACACTTGCCTTTCTGTTTGGAATGGTAAGTATAATTCTAACAGGTCTAAGAGCTCTCCAGCAGTGCACCGTTTGTACTATGAACATATGATATCTCAGATCGTGTGACTTGACATACGTGCGACGTGAAGATTTGTGCCGTTACATTTAGATCATGAGATTAGATTTATAATTTTTTCCTGGTGGATAATAACGCCTAATAACAAAATCTACCTTTGAGAGAATTACCCAAGCGCCAAGCCAAATCTAGCAATGTTTCAGCTTGTCTCATAGTGAATCTTTAATGTAAACTTGCCTTAACAAATGCCCCATAACCACATAACAATGAGCTTAAATCACTCAGAACACCCTAGCAATGCTCTAGCAACAACCACTATGTTTTCTTCAGAAAACAATCTAGTTGTTTAATGGTTTCAGACAGCATTAAAACCTTGTCTCTGGTGTAATGAGATGATTTAACCTGCCTGTTTGGAGAAAGTTTCCCTGCTATGTGCTTGACAGTCCGACAAGCCTCTAATCCAACCCTTAACCCCAAATATTTAGCCTCTTAGGCTGGTCAGCCTGCCAGGCACTTAGTGTGACACCTTTCTTTAATGTGCTGTTAACCTAGTGCTTCTTTTAGAAAGAATTCTTCAGGGGGCTGAGATCATTTATGGTGTTACTTTGAGTTGCACTTACTTTGCAGCAGCACAATCAGTCAAAAGGTTTGTTAGTCTGCATATGACATTAGTCCATATTTGACATAGTACTGCAACAAAGTGTGACCAAAAAATATGAGTACAAATTAAAACACACAGCCTCTCTAATATTATTGACAAAGTGCCACCCTTTTCAAGATCTCTGTTTGTTCAGTGTCTGTCTCCATGGAAACAAATACATTCAATCAGCCCCCATCCAGAAGACTACATGTAGGAGTATTTGAGGAAAAGCATAAAAGAAAATCAGAGACTGATGATAGAAAATGAATCACAGCATCCATCAATTTTAAAGACTGACTGTAAAAGAGACCGAGAGCCATTTTACATTTAAAAAAGTTAGCTTTAATAATCTCAGAAATATTTGTTTCACTTTATTGATTGTCTATATTTCAAAGATGTCTGTTTCTGTATCTGAGGCCCAAAAAAAAAAAGAGAAGAGAACGATATATGTGGCATGAAATTGAGTGAGAGACCGTGTGGTATTTGAGACATAATGTGATTTTATAGCAACACATGTGGCAGTAAGCACTAAAAATAGAAACCATGAAATGTTCAAGTCTCATAACCCTTCCTCTTTACTTTCAGATGATACTGGTGGCAATATTCTCTGAGACTGGTTTCTTTGATTACTGTGCAGTGAAGGTGAGTTTTCTCAATCATTATGTTGAAAATGCTTATTTGTGATTTGTTTATCTCTTTAAGCAAGATACAATGTCTTGACTGACAGAGTTATTTCCTCATATTCTCTCTAAAATTAGGCTACTTAATCTATCCCACCCACCTTAGATATAATATTATACACATTTAAATACATTATATATCTACAGATACAAATACCTACTAATATGTACTCGGCAATCAGTAGGTATTTTAGTAGGCTTACTTTACCCAGTAAGCTTTGGGGCAAAGAAGCAGAGCTTTACGATAGCTGTCCTGAAAATCCCTATCATTCACTCTCAAGCAAAGTGATGAGAATCCCACAAATGCTTTATATATGAAATTTCTGGGTGAATATTAAGCTCCAATCAAGCTCCAATAGAGTTGCGAAAAGGAATCAGATGGAACAAATCTTATAAAATTATGCAACCGTTTGTAAATTGTGAATAAAATGGGTTTGAATGAATGAAAGTCTAAAAATAAATCATTGGATGGATATCCCTTTCCTTATTTTCAGGGATTCTGCGGACTGTTGTAAAAGACCTGTTGAAACATTATGGATGTGCTCTGGACATTATGAGGGCACACGCTTATGTCCTCTCATCCCATTTATGAATCTTAAGAGGGTTCTGGGCGAGGACATGTTCCACAAATTAAAATATTGCCATAGAAACAACCCTCTTGATTGAACAACATTTCAAGATAGAATGAAGATGCATTTTATCTTGAAATAAAAATCAGGCTTCTTCAATCCTTGTGTAGTTGTGAGCGGGTGAGTTAAGGCCCGTTCACACCAAGAACGATAACTATAATGATATTAGTGTCCACACCAACACACAATAATGTTCTGTTTATTATAAGCGTGCACAGCGCTTTAAATGCTCAAGCTTTTTAAAGCATGATGGATTCTGATTGGCTGTCAATGTTTTTATCATTCATCAGCTGGAAAAAAAAACATTCTGGAAGTAATTCCAACGCCTATCGTTCCTGTGTGCCATTTATAGTTGTGATATAGACTTTATTATTGTTATCATCCTTGGTGTGAACGGGCCCTTACTCTGTTTATTTGTCAGTCACCATATTATTGAGTCAGGAAGTGGTGATATAATCGGTGGACTACAACGCCCTGCTTTACCACTTGATTAGAATGATTCCAGACAGCCTGATAATGTCTCCATAGCGACAGGCTCTTAAAGTGCAGGTCTTTTGTTTTTTGAATCTTTTCTTTTCTGGCTTAAACATTCTTTTAGCGCTACAGCCTGAATGAACAAACACACTATGGATCTGTGTCAGTTTTTAGACTGAATTCCTCATTAAAATGTACTTTTGAAGATTGTGTTCTGAGACCTCCTCAGAGGACTGCTCTTGATTCCCTATCTTTGAGGCACTGTTAAATCTATCTCTCCTTTCCACTGTTTTTTTTTTTTTTTTAAAAAACATGATTTTGTTAATGTTCATAAACAAAGGCTAGAGATTTTTGTGCTTAATTTATTTTTGACCCAGTTAGTTTTCATAATGTGAAGTTGTGAGAAAAAATTCTAACTTTGTAAACCAATAATGAAGTATTCCCAACAGTATTCTGTATGTCTCCACACAGGCGTATAAGTTATCGCGAGGAAGAGTGTGGCCCATGATTATCATTCTGTGCCTAATTGCAGCCGTTCTGTCAGCCTTTCTCGACAACGTAACAACTATGATGCTTTTCACCCCTGTTACAATCAGGTAATGGTATCTCTTCCTAAAACAGTGTATCTTTGCTTTCTTTCTGTCTCTTTTTACTTATTTTTTAAACTTGTATAATGATTCACTTCCAATGGAAGTATATGTGGCAAGCAATTGCACTGGAATAAACATTAAAACAGAGTGTCCTGAGAGTGTAGCCATAATACTTATACAATCTACATGTTGAAGTTAGACTTGTGTGCCAGAATCCTCGTAAAACCTCCACAATGGCTTTGCCTGTAGAGTTTTATTGTAAGTGCTTTGCTGTATACATGACTTTTATTTTTACAAACTGAGGGATAAATCCAGATTGTTTTCTTTGGTATCTGACAGCATGCCACAGACGCTGTCAATAGAGATTAACTTGCATTGAATCTGGAGCATTCCTTTAATAGGACTTTGAAGAGAAGAAGTTTGTTCAGCTGAACTACTGCTAAAAAAAATCCCAGAAGGCCTTGGCTTTTCTCTGGACAAGAATTTCTTTGTCAGTCTGCTTAGAGTTACATGAGGATGAAATAAGTCATGTCTCCATGCTATAAACTTACCACCTCATTGTTCTTTTCAGCTTCATTTGAGCTAATTTTCTTCATTCTTTTCTCTGTTACACGTTGTCTCTCAATGTGATTCATCAGTGCCTGTGCACATTTTATTTGTGTTCTCTGTCTTTTATATGTTTTATATCCTGATATACAGCATCATTTATTTAGCATTATTTAGGACACCCTGTTCCTTCAGAGGATATGTGCTATGAAGCAATTTGGCATAATGTAATGTTTCATGTCCCATCCCTGTTGAAACCCAAAGACCAACAAACCAACTTTGAGTAAGGATACTTTTTTTCATATTTTTGTTTTTTCATTCTACTGCAATATTCATCCATCAAATTCTTATCATCTTACATAGACCTTAAAAATCCCTAGTGTGGTAGGATAGAACAAATCTATATTTCACACATAGCCATTAAAATGTTAGGCGCAGCCTCAGCGTTTTCATGACATTGCTGGTGAGAAATTA